CCAAAAAGTGTCTCTCATCATCAAGTGTGTTCGTTAATTAATCTAATCCAGCTATATGGCTATAAGCAACCCACCTCTTTACCAGACATATGAGATTAGAATCCTGGCAGCCGGTATGGTAGACGACAACTACAATAGTGACATTTTTATTTATCTTTCTGTCATAACGGCGTCACAGTCAAATTAGAAAGTATTGATGGTTAAGAGATTATTACTATTTTCTAGGAAGCAACAGCAAATCACAGCGAAAATTCTTGCCAGATTTTTTACTTCGTGAACACTCTTGAAGTATTTTGTACATATGATGAAGTATTCGCTACTATTCAAAGAACGTCCAAATTAATAAACGAATATGCTTCGAAACTTGGCCTTATTAACCGGTCAGCTCATTGCTAACAGAAAAACGATTGAATAATGAATTGAATAACGACGAAATAATTAATTACTAAAAACTAAGAACTAAAAAACCTACTTCGTGAAAATTTCGCGTACCCTAAAAATGACAAGTCCGTCCTTTAACATATGTAAGGAGGGGGTGGCGTGTTGTCAGAAGAGAAGAACCTTAGCATGAATATTTACTGTTGCAGTTTGTCTTTGAAAAAGCAGATATCAGTGCTACCTGGAGCTTGGCCCTTTTCCTTATCTTCATAATTATCCAATCGGCCAACGTTTCATGGAAAGCGACCCTCAGACAAGTGTGATCACTCTTCATTTTCCTTTGTAAGGATACGAATCAGATAATGTCTATTCTATAGAAATAATAAATTGTATGCGTCGGAATATATGAACTGCTCGACCTTGTCGAAGGATTGTGCGAAATATTTTTTTGTCCGATGCCAGAGCAAATGAACGACACGGCAGTCAAATATAAATGACGCGTCCCACTAAAACCAGCGTTCTTCATGTGAGGCTTTGAACCCTTAGCGCCGTCGATACGTGCCTGGACTCTACATAAGCAGCTTGATTTTAGCCTTACAATTTTGAACGGAAGAAACTAACCACGATTTCGACATCTATTGGTGGTCGTGTTGCTAAGGGACACTTATGAATTTTCTAGAGCAGCTTTAATTTAACGATTTGAAGTTAACCATTTTTTAGCTTTCGCTCACACCATACAGTGTTCCGTTGGTTTGCTAACTAACATCACATAGAGTGTAACTGGATGCATTTCATAACGGTCAGCTTCGCAAAATTTGTGTTTTGATCGCAGAAACGCCATCAAGAACGAACAGAATCGATAGCCGGATCAATACATAAGCATTTGGCATATAAAACCAGTTAGATATATTTTAATGTTGCATGTGATACAAAAGCAGCGCTGAAAGTCCACGGTTAGGCTCAGGAAGCTGTGAGCAGAAAGAGTCATTGGGGATTCGGGTTTGAGATTTTTAGTTAGCTTAAGGAAAGGTTACCACACATTTGAGCCCTGCGTTTTCATCGAGAAGGAAAACAGTGCAATTTTACACTGAGGTATACTTTTAGATGAAACACAGAATCGATTTTTTTTTTTTCATAAATAACGAAGCGAGTTGCATTTTGAATGGAGATGTTTACATATGACGTGACTGTAGAAGTGCTGTCGCCCCATTTTCCAGCCCAAGGGCGAAAGCCATTTTGAGCTGACACTCTTGTTCATGCAACTTTATGCTCAAAGCTAGAATACGATGCAGGACTCCTATTTTGGGCTAAAGGAAATTGATCAATGATTACTCCCTCGCAGCTTTGCGCAGACAGGTACGTTCAATGATTAATTTCACTCACTTGGCTCTTTTAGAATCTAATGAGTTATATACATATACGTGTGTTCCTATTCTTATCTATGGTATTTAAGTAGCAAGCCATTAGGCATTATTTCAGATAGTTGGTTCTTAACACGAAACACTCAGATTGGATTTGAATACGCAATACGTTATTCGCTACGCAATCACAGGAACACTATGTAGGTACACTGAAAGCATCTACCAGAAATATTTATATGGGCATTTGTCAGAATTTGCAGAAAAGAGCCAGCTACTTCGCAGCTGTAACAAAAAAGTAGATTATTCTGATTGTGCATCATTATAGCAGTTTATTCTCAATCAGTTATAGGCAAACTGCACTCTACTTATAGTCAGTAGCGTTAATCTAAAATCACATGAAGTTTAATCATACTGGTTATATAATAGCACACGTAGCCTTGTAAGCTGGCAAGTCGACGACGTTGTTAGTGTAACGGAAAAACTTGGATAATATGTAAGAGTGTTAGCTCAGATAAAACTGTGATCTGCTCAGGATTATTTACTTTGCACTCTGACCTGCTGACAGGCGGATCTTGTATTAATCAATAAACACAGTAAAAAAAATGCTATGCTTTAGAGTACATTGAGACATTTATTTACCAGAATAATCCAACGCGTTTCCTTCTCTATTTTACAACCTGGAGTATTTTCATTACTTCTACCTTGATATTTTATGGCATATGTGCCAGGTTTGACTAGCACAAAAATTACTTTTTTTCAGGGTAAGAACGAAAGATAGAATAAAATTGTGCACCTGAACGGTCTATTGTGGAGTGAGGTTTGATATCACTTAATATTGCAGCTTCTATGGCTATTTTTTATACCACTAGCAGTTTACTTCGAATATAACTGTAGAAAATACGTTGTTCGAAGAGCGTAAAAATGCATTCTGTTTAGCTCTGCGGTGAAAGTATGTTTTGAGTTCTTTATCTTTAGGCTACTTAAGGATTCTTTATAGTAATTTTCATTCCATTCGACAGTGAAAAATATTTTCTAAAAGAGCTAAAATTTTCTATTACCAACACACCATCTCGAAGAATGTTGTCCACGAAGATGCAGTGAGCAGACATTCGTTTGCATGCATCAATTATATATGCAACGGCCGATAACGCTATAGTACTTAGCACGTACTTTCTTCAACATCGCTGTATACGTTGCTCATTATTTAGTATGATAATGAAGACACCAAGCCAATAGCAAAATCTATAAAAAACCATTCGACGCCCCGTAACTCTTATTGTCAATAGTTGACTGAGCCAAATGTTTAGTATAACAAATACAGTCCTCCAACTTCTCGTCTATAGATTACAGTTTTTAGCGTGCATCCTGTTGAGTCGTGAAGGTAAGCCTCGATGGGCACCCATGCAGAAACTACGAACGCATAGGAGCGAATTTAAATATTATAATTTCTACGATGCTGTAATCGTTAATCTGAATAGTTGCTCAATGTTCGATGTATAGTTTATTGACACCTCGCGTTATTTGCGCGTTCAGCTCTTGTCTCACGTACGGGACGGCAACAGGACGAAAACAATTACAGTTGTTTTATCCACTTTTTCGCGTTAATCAGTGCAGAGTCGATAAAAATACTCTTGCGACAAACATTTTAAATTTGAAAAACTTCCATTATAAATTGGAATTTAATCTACTGAGTTAGAGCATTTCTATTTATATTATAGACAATCGAATCAGGTAATAAGCGACAAGATATAGATGAAATACGCCCTTCACGAAGTGGGCGTGTGGAAATTAATTGGCAAAGTTATTCTATCTTAAAATATCCATCTACGATATTATTTATTTAACGTATAAATACCTTTGGTCAAAGTTCTTTTGGCTGGTAAGGACCCGAAAGAGCAGGCTTAGATATCTGTCTATTATTGGGCTTGACGCTTCGCGCCATGTCTGACGGCTATTTGCAGCTACAAACTCGCATTTTTTGTTTCGATGCACTGCAGCTTTAAAAAGCAATCCTTGCACATATGCATAAGAATAATGCCTTTAGCACAGGGTGCATTTCATGCACTCGTATTAACAGGCAAATACAAACACGCTTCTACCATGACTGAGTGTCAGTAGACTGAGGTAAACACGGCCTTTGACCTTACTAAAAGTAGCATTATCTCTACAAGCCAGGATGAAACGCGATTACAAGTTCCGCAATAACAATTAGATTATACGTGCTTATTCCGGTTCAGTTTTTGCACTTTTCTATAAAAATAACAATTCAATCTCTTCATCTGCATATGCATAAAGTTATTTATTTGTTATTATCCTGTTCTTTGTATCATCAGCCGGTTCATGCGCACAGACAAATTCGTAGTAAATATTAGATACAAGTTTCCTTGTACTTTGTTTTTGGCTAGTTTCGTTATATGCTATTGTTAATAACTGTTATTACTCGAATTCCTGTACTACTTCTCACACGACACAGTTACTTCCCATGTAAAAATGACAACGCCAGAATGACCAGCGTGTTACGTACAATTATGTACAAAAATACTTAGCGTAGATCGTCTAACGGCCATAATACTGCTAAACGATGTTCAGCGTAAAGACCATAGTACCATAATCACATAATCATCAATACAATCATGATTAACGAATGTTTCCCTAGGTTTGACCGATCCGCGATAATCTTTCAAGTAGCGCGTTATTTCCATTAACATACTAGAGTAGTACAACGATCGAAACATCACTACTTCTTCATTCTTTCGACAATGTTGCGGTTTGAATAAGGCAACACAAGCTTATGAGGATAACAAATATATAGCTTCTAATGCAACAACATGTACAACAAATAACGACTGCGTTGACAGACAGACAGGCAAACAGACAAAAGCAAATACTCGTCAACGGACGATAATGTTTCTTCATGAAAGCGAGTTAACCGTATAAGTTCGAAAAGTATCTACGAACGAAGTACGAATCTATTTCTACTACTTCATATCAGGTTTGTCTACCGAATTACCACACCACAAAGCATACCCCAATGCCGAGTTTGATGGATAGCATGTAATCTATGTAAAAACGCAGATATAACTAAACATCGGACACCACTAAGCTTCAACCCAGCCTAGCCACGAAAATAAACTTACCTAAAACAATTACATAAATGTTCTTACTGTGGTAATGCGTACTAGTTCAGAATGCATCGTTTATTCTTTGTGCTGTGTAAACAATGTACTAAATCGAGGCACGTTACCAATCGTTACAACTCACATCGCATCGCGACTTGTGAATTTCAGTAACCCATGACAAATGTAAAGAATTCACTGTTTTAGTCAGAACTTTTGCCGACCGTTGCTAACTGAGGTTGATCATGAGTAATCATTGTCCTTTCACACAATTGGCACATTTTCTATCCGTTGAAACAGGCTTGTGCTTTACATTGTCCACTTCGTCGCCGTCAGCTTTGCAGTCGGATTGCACATGGTTCGAAGAAGAGGAAGCTGTCGAGCTTTCTGCCGCAATTGCACCCGGTCCTCCACACACCTGGCAACCCTTCTCCTGCGAGTCCACAACAATCTTACGCAGAGGTGCAGACAAACCGCTGTAGCTGTGCAGGATGCAGTCCCACATGTATCCCCAGCTTCTCGCCGCTTTGCCTATTGTCGCCAAAGCTATGTCGAACGGTAGCATAACAATGGCGACCACTAATGCCACAGTTCGCGCCAGTCTCGTATGTCGATATGGCCTCAATTGTCGCTCCAGCTGTTCTTCAATCGTCGCCAGCTCAAGCGGCCGCAAAAGTGTACGAGATACGTTCGACCTGCTCGACAGCTTGATATGCGCGTCGCAATGCTCGCAATCCTTGCCGTCAATGGACCTATCAGTAATAATTAGTGAAGACAATTGCTCGCTGTCATTCTCTTGCTGGCTGTGACTTATTTTCATTGATGATGACGGGCCGGAACTTGTTATGAAGTAATTCTCAGCTGCGATACACGAATGGCAGGAAATCATGTCGTTGTTCTGTAGGAAATGGACGGCGTCTTTGTAACCCTGCTGAATCAGCTCTTCGAGGATAGAGGGCGAAGGGGCGTATACGGTCTTGCAGAGGCGTAAAAGTGTCTCCGGCATGAATGCTACTTTCGGTAAATTGCCTGACCGAGGACCGATTCGCGACTCGCCTGGAAAGGGTGACACGGTAATCGTATGCTCATCATGGATAGGGAGGTTACGACTAATTCCGCCATCAATATAGCTGACACCCTTGACCTTTGGCGGAACCCAACCGAGGAAGTACGGAATGAAACACGATGCCATTAGCACATCAATAAGTTCCTGCCGAGAATCGAAATTACTGATGAGCTCGTTCTGTAAATTTGATGCACGCGTCACTGACACAAACAGCTTACCCGAGCTGCGAATGTGCGCATCGGCTGGCATATACAGATCAAGATCCCTACGCATTGTATCAAATAGGTTGAAGCGCGGATGGAGCGGCCCCAATGGAAGACTTCGGCAATGTACCGCTAAGGTCACGATATTGTTGATTGCCTTATCCATAGGGAAACCGCTCACGAGGCAACTGGCGGCTAAGGCTCCGGCCGAGGTGCCAAATACCTTGCGGTTTGCGACGTGCGGGGCAAAATCTCGAAACGCAAGCGCCACCCCGACGTGATAGATGCCGAGGAAACCGCCGCCCGAAAAGCTCAAATGAGCTTCTTCATAAAAGCGACGGTTCTTCGACATCGCTGCTGTACTGATTTTGACTACCATCGTTGCCGACGGTCTGGAAAACCCTGGTAAGACAGCCGTCCTGGTTGTCTGGTTTCGATGGGGTAGTGTAAAAAGCAGATAGAACGGAAATTGAATCAAAAGTCGTGCACCGGCGCTGCGCAGGGGTACAATAAACGGAAATTTTGCTAGAGTTTAAGTTCTACCGGGAATAAATCATAATATATTTTTTTTAAGTTCTACGATTAGTGAACTTCGTTAATGCGTTGTGACTGAAGTTCCTGCAGAACTGCTCACTATGCTGAGAAAAGGTTAAGGCTGTTCGCCACCGGTCTACTAATATAATTCAATTGGTTTCGTTCCATCGGAATCTACAGTCCTCAAGTAGTACTGGAAATCTGCGCAAAAACATATCCTTTGATCCAAATATATTATTAATACATTCTACCGGAAGTTATTCTGTGGGTGAACAGCCTATTACCCATTGTTCTCCTAACTACGTTCATTTACTGCATCCGACTCAGGCTAATTCTTTTCGAGTGTGGTACGTCCCTAGACACGTAATTTCCGTCGTAACTATGATATTTGCCTCACACGAACAGTCCAGGCGCAAGAAGCTTGTTTATCGTAAATTTTCCATTTCTTTAACCTGCCGTCAACCTGCCTTTTTACCGCGCCTTCATGCTTCTGGCACAACAACAATGTAAATCACTTGCAAAAATTGCATTGTGCAAGCAACTGACCGCGACCACGCATCCGTGATCATACATTAATCGACCCTCCTGAGCCGATATGAGCCATCCCCTCTCAACCCCCTCTGTGACTCATTCTTCACGAGGCTTTGGATTGGATGCCACTTCCGTTAATGTTAAGCACCCCGGGTGGCACCGTTTCTTTTTTGGGTCGTTGAAAAAACATCTATTCGCACAGCGCAACGTTGGAATGATTACAGTCACAGAGCGGCATAGTTAACATTGGGTCATTTGTTTGGAGGCCATTAAAGCTGCTGTTGCTGCACTTCGCGCGCGTGCACATCTGTATGAATAGCTATTGCTTATTGTTTTAAACGTTGTCGTTGATCCGCACGATATCAGGCCAAAGTAAAGCGTTTCGCAGCACGCCCACACGTATCACAACTACGACCGTACTTCACACATACTCAAACTACTATATTGTTAATGTTCCACCAGCTGCGTGCCTTTGCCTACCCCTTTGTGCTAGGACTGCGGCGGTTACTCCCTCTAACAGCAAAGAGTGACCAGCGAAATGGTAAGGGAGAGATGCTTTTTTTGTTGTTTATATTTTGCTCTCTGAATGTCAACTTAGCAGACGATAACGATTGTTTAGCTGCCCACAGTAGAATACTGAATTACGTTTTCTTTTTTGGCGGGAAATAGAAAAACGGGTAGAAGTTGAATCACTAAAGACAGATGAATAGACTACTTGAAAAGAATGCTGTGCATTCGTCATATTTCTGTTCGAAACGCTATTTTCGTTAAGTAAATGACTGCGTAAGTATGATGGATACGATAGTTAATACTGAGACCAACTTAAATGAGCCAAAAGTGCAAATTGCTGTTTGTTTACTCAAATGCAACTACCCGAGAATGACATGGTTTAGGATTTGAGGATGTTTCTTATTTAAAGGGACGGTTTAGCAGCATGCACGTTAGTAATATGGCTCGTACAAAAAATAAAACACGAAGAACAGGTATTCATTCTACAAAACTATTTCGGCGCCATTGTAAACCAGTAAAATCAATCTGAGGTCGCAATGCGGTAAACGATCAAACTTCTAGTAAGGCCTACGTTCCGAGATATTAGAAAGGCCGTTTCATCCAAAATATGGTATAACACCGCGGTAGTTCTACATTAAAGCAATTACCTTCGTACACACAATGAATGTAAAGGAGAAAGCAAGGGTTTTTTTGTTTAGCAGTATACAAAAACAGAAACGGAAGAATTCTTTCTGTTTTCTATTTTTTGGGTCGTACATACGGCCATATTTATAGAATATTAGTGGGTATGATAATGGAATAACGGATAAGCCAGTGATGAGTTCCGCAGCACTAGATTTATTTTGAAGCTTATGGAATCGGCTGTTCCACAAACAGAACGACTTCTCCTGATCCAATAAATGTCAGCGTCACTTGAGATAACAAAGTCATGTCGTCTACAAGTGTTTTCATGTCCTGCAATTACAAGGAGCAAGTTGAGTGTTAATTTCGCAGTAGAGAAATACAATAGTCGACAAAGGTATCTGCATCTGCTGTCATCGCAAACTACTAATTGTAGTTTTTTTCTTCAACTGAACTTTGCAGTTCAGCCGATACAACAATATAAGAATACTTATTTGAGAAATTATAAGATGCACTTCCAGTCTACTATAGGCCTTGAAAACCTGATACAGCCGACTCATTATGTGACCTTAATTGATAAGCATAGTCCATATTAAGTCTAAAACTTGTCAACCACAAGGATAGGAACAGAGGTTCCATCTTGCAAGCGGTCAGGCATTAGTGCGCTTTCTTTAATTAGAAACGCGACATTTGTAAGAATATCATTTTGCTACTTGACTTACTAGACAACGTCCTAAATCTTTGCTGTGACTCGCTATTTGAGTGAGATCACCGCTGATTCCAACCGATTTAAGCCGACAAGGATCTGCTACTTCAACGGTTATCGAGCCCGGGCCTGATACGACGATTGCATAGGGACTACCCCAGGGAGCACGCTGTGATGCAGCTGCATCGGTCGTGTTCCAAGTAATAACTTTCATCGTTGACGTAAGCACCTGGAAAGTTAAGACGGCAAAAAATGCCAAGTAACAAAAAACTTTGCAAACTTTTCTAATGAACCAGTTAAGGGCAAATAACAGAATTCGTTTCGAAATGTAGCGACTATAGCGGCTGAACTTACAACAACTTTTCTGAGGCTTTCGAGAAGGTCCATGACGCGCCGAACATGTTCTTCCGATAGATCAATATAGATTCGATTAGGGTAAGCCCATAAGAGGAACGTCATCACTTCATATTTTGGTAACGGGTCACCTGCGTGTGACCACACAGTCAGCGAGGTAGCGCTCTTGACGCTGAGTAGAAGTGTCAACGGAGCAAACACAAGATGCGAAAGACGCACTGGAAATGTGACAACTGTTTCACGGGGAACTTTGTCTAGAAGTCGAATCATCTGAGCAAAAACATCACATGTGTATAAAACTATGTGAAGAGCATGGAGCGTTGAATGTAGTAGTTCTAACTTGCTAATTCAATCCATCTACAGGCTATATTAAATCAAGGGCAACAGGGCATGCAACGTATTCACATTTATTTTAGGGGAAAGAATTCTGTCTAGAGGACGTCAACACAATATCTCAAATAATCGGATCAGCCGGTAGGTGTATGTTTCTGCGTAGCCTTTGTTTACCTTAATATGCAGTTCTGAGACAAAGGATGAAAATAAATTTTACAATCACTACGCAGCTTCACTCAAATTTTCTAGGTTCTAGCGCGAGTTTTCGATACACTGTACATACGCTCACAAATACCTGAAAAATGTTTTTCCACGAGTAGACTGAGGGTACTTCTTGTGGCGTGCCCGCCAGTTCCGTGGTCCATCCAATTGAAAGTACATGGCCCGCGGGGCCATTCCTTGTGCAAATATCGACAAAAGCCTCTGCTGGCAAGGCTGTTCCCTTCGGTTCACCGGGCCCTACTAAGACGTCTGCATTCAGCCACAGCTCATGATTCAGCGGCTGCACATGATACTCACATCGATACAAAGCAAACAATACAGCATAGGTCGTAAAAGTAATAGCACGATTTTATCTAAACGACTACGTCATGTTCCAACTTCGTTTCGACATGATAAATTCAATGTTTTCTACAGTCTGCAAAATTGTTCTGTAAAAGCGTTAAAACCATGCTGTTATCAAAAACTTTTCAAACCCGGCCGAAAAATACATTTCGGGTCAATTAGTAATCGTATCTTTAAAAAAACTATTTTACTTTTCATGTAAATAAAAAAGTACTTCCTACACTGTTTTTTTTTTCACCTTTTTTATGCATGAACGCTGCAGAGAAGCATACGAGAAATATTACATACTCGCTCAAAGAATTTATTTGAACCATAATTTTTTGAATGCAAGGCGAGAAGCCATTGTGAACCTCAGCTGTCGCCGTACAAAAGTTGATTATACTAGAAGATTTGCTATAAGGTGAACCTACCGTCGGAATAGTTATGGCTATATCGGAAAGGCAGGACTCAACAGCATCGAAATCTGAAAACACCAAAAATCATGAATATAGCAAGATTAAAATCCGCTGCTCTGTAAGGAAATTTCTCAGTCAAAAGATATTCAATACGACGGTTTCGGTACACTTCCCGCTCTGTGATGCTGCAGTGGTAGTTTTTTGACAAATAATGGTGTAGATTTAAAAAAAAATAGATTAAAAAAAGAAACAGAAAACGCGTTGCTTTATGCTGACGGTTAGGAACCTAAAGCGATACCTAATGACACGGCTAAGTGTAAAATTTGGAACATTTACCTGGGTTGATCATGTATTCATCTATGTCTAACACCAACAGCATTTAATAATCGTGACTGAATGATGAATGAAGTACCTTTAAAATCGACTTTAATACCCTTTGAAGTTCTGCTTTCCTTAACAAGCCGTATCCATTCGCTAAACAGAATGTCAGACGTTGTGTCTGGCGGATGCGCCATGATTGGTACACGAGCCTGTAGCGAAAACCGATACGACAATGAAAGTCACTTTTAAGAAAGAAATCAAGGGAACCTACTATGTCTATTGAATTTGAAATTTAGGCATATATAAAGGTAACCTTGTCTTAGACTTGTTAAATTTGTAACAAGGTAGACTTAGTGTTATCACTACTAGGGCATAAGTTCGTTTAAACAATAACGTTCCAAAATTATTACCGAAAAAAAGCATCGATTCATATAGATCGTGATTTATTCTCATTAATTTAAGATTAAGATCTAGATTCTTAAACTACGAATTTAAGGCTTGAAAGGAAATGTGGTGATAATTACCATTACGCGATGCATGTTTGGTAAATTTCTCATTAGTAATGTACAACAGAAAATAGGCAAAGCGTTATATTCCGAACATATCTACTTACATCACTGCTGTGTCCAGCAAGATTGCCGAGAAGTACGTCACCTTCAATGAAGTCAACTACATCTGAGAAATGTCAACTCGGAAGTTAGTCAATCTGTCAAAGTCTATAATTTATTGCTTAGATTTCCATTCGCTATATACACTTCAAAGATAGCTGTAGTTGATAGTCTTTAACAAATGGGAACAAGTTGACAAGCGAATAACTTCCACCAACGTAATGCGGGCATTAAACAACAGTTCCCAATTCGAAATAACTTGGCACAGGCAAGCTGCTATAGAGAACGTACAATTTACGGTTTCGAATACAGCAGCTGGTCTTCTAATAATCAACAGCAGCTTACTTTACTTGAAGACGAATTAAGTGACTGGGCGCTAACGTCAGCGCATACGTAACAAAAAGGGTGGCTCAAGTGTGTAAATTCTGACTTATTTGCTTAGCTACAAATACGAATATACTGATATGGACCAACTACCCGTACTATTTTGCATGAATAGTGCTAAATAACAGCAATACAAAGGAAGGCTGTTACAACTACCTGATTTAAGAGCATTGATGAGCTTTACCCTCGAATTAGTTGCATGTGACCACCTCAGGTTTATTGAAGTCTGTGCGTTACTCATAGTTTGGTATTTATCTGAAGAAAGTTAAACTAGTTCGAAACATAAACATAAGGTACAGCGCCACAGCGACTAGTGAAAATTTCGTGTTTACTCTGCTTATTGTCATTAATGTTTAGTCAGTTTAGCCGTCTAAAATAATAATAGGACTTGACCTGTCCTTTGTCATCGACTAATATGAACAATACAAACCCGAATTTTGCTAAATTTTGCGTCGTCTGGACACACAATCAAGCTACGTTAAGACAAAGCTATGGTCCTACCAGATCTTGCAACTTAGCAGACGCCATGATCATTGGAAAAACTGTTCGCGTGTAATAGTCAGCCTAGCCATCTAGCTTCATGCCGTAAATCGCCATTTCACCGGTCAAGTGCGTTACCTGACCTGACTGTCCTCGCCTCCTGCAAACTTCTTGACGTTGTTGGAAGTGGAATTATTACCTGGTTGTTATGAGGGAATAAAGTGCCACTGGCATTGTTACCACGTAGAAACAATTGTGGGCATATATCTTCCGTTAATGGTCTCACAGATGACCATTGATTTCTGTTAACCTTGGGCATACACAGTTTAACTTGGTATCCAATATATACCTGGTTGGCCAACCAGCCAAACAGTACCGATTGACGTTTCCACCACAACATCGTCATTTCTCACTAATCAGGACAGAATTATCCTTTTGTGGCGATAGGTATGTGGCATACTTTTGTCTGGTACGCTTTCCGGAAGAGGAAAAGTATGATATCGTTTCTGTGCTACGTGAAGGTGATGAACGAAGTTTATATTAAATTGGAGTTGAAGATCGCTGAATCCTCTATAACGTTAGGACGACACTTTTTGCTTTTTCAGACTATCGAAGAGAAATACCTGCATAGCTGGTGATGTGTTGGGCCACCGAATGTCATATCTAAATAGCGACAAGTGGATCCATCACTCATAAACCCTAGACATATTTACATATGTACGGTTTTCCTGTATAGCAATCACTTTAAATACAGAGTACTTTGCGGTTCGTTGTATTATATAGTATAAGCCAATGACCGCGAATCGTGGTTTGTCAACTAAACTACATGAAACGAATATGATTTTTGCTTCACAGAACACAAGCTAAAATGAGTCATCTGAAGTGACATATTGCCAGTATTTTTAGAAATCTACATTTACTTTGGGCTTATTCGTTATATCTCGGTAGGAACTCAGGAAACCAATATTCAAGACGATTCCAAATTTGGAATTATGTAGTAGGCCGCAGTAACTAGTCGTTGGTCCATTGCATTACTTTCGTTAATAATACATCACCTTAAGTCTATATTACATTTACCTCCTAAATGCACGCGCCAAACAGAACCTAATGAGTTCCAGGTACAGTTTTGGAGTTTACCACATACAGGCTTTTATTGCTGAGCGACCTATTTCATTTCACGTCACTTCAGTCTCTGTAGACCTAAATGCGATTGTAAATGGTTTCGTATCTTTTAAACTAAAAGATGTTATTATTTGCCAACTATTCGTTGAGAGTGCTTCATGACATCTGGCTCTGAAGTGTAGAGTCTAGAGCTCCTGAATGAAAATTACTACGAGATTTGTAAGGCTCGCGTTGTAGCCAAGCACGCAACCACCGTATATCTGCTCTCCAAGCATGAGTTCCAAGAGCACGTTTGTCTGCATCGGTTAAGTCTATCGCGTCCGATATCACTATTATTGCTATTGCTGAAGTGTTCGAATAGAGTCAGGGAAACCTGTTGGATCTAATGGTCACTTCGTATTTGGCGCGCTTCCTTTCCTCGCTGGTCCAGCCGCATCGGCCTACGGTGACTACGTTCACGTTTAGCTTACCGTGCTGGCTACATAGGGGCATTCCTCTCTGCCGACAATATACTTGCTTTTCCGTTGGATTACCATTGTATGTGACAAACTAGTCTTGGCAATGGGCGATACAAGCAAGTATTCGATACTCTTACCGACGTACAACGAAAAGGATAATTTACCAATCGTCGTGTGGCTCATCAACAAATATATGACAGAAAGGTAACCAAGTGGTGTTCCAGCGTGCTGGACTATACACGGCGCTATTACATACAAAGGGTCATTGTAACTGGCAATTCTTTTGTATGAGGCCACTAACTAGGTAGCGGCTTCAAGAGTTAGTAGGGACTGTGTTACAATGTAATGAACCGTTGACGCTAAGCGCATTATCGGTAGTTGTCAGCTGGATCACACGTCAGAGCATCGTGCGAACAAGCAGCGGCAGCGAGCGATTACTTAACGTGAAGCTATTGTCCTTAATCATCAAACAAAAGTAATTATTGTGCGGTGTATAATAAGCAATTTGGAAAGATACCATTTCTTCTGGGTATATACAAATATAATATATTTATTTATTTTGAATTATGAAATTCACTGATGATTTACTAATAAAGCTGCTGAGAGCAGTTCTAGTGCGTAAATTGGAGGAACCTTCAGAAAGTTCAGTTTAGAAAGATTTTAACCTAAAATTCTTAGCTGATGTTATGTTTAAACCTAACATATCAGTGTTGGCTTTATTAATGACATAATTCTGATATCTTGTATCAGGGCGAATGGCATAGAATAATAGTAATAGTTTAGAAATAGATAGTTTTTGGTTAAATTAACAAAAGTGAAGTCAACTTCCTACTAATATGGCTCCTGCCAATTTACGGTACTTTTCATATTCCCAGGTTTGTTAAATGATGATGGAATCGAAAAATAGCCGTTCCAGTTGTTCGCATGAGTCTAAGAAAAACGGATACCATTAAAGCTATGATAGAGAGAAAACAAAAAATAGAAATAGTCTACAATATATTACGATGACTTATTTATGTACATAAACAACCTTCTTTAAATGCTATCTATATAATAAAGTCTCTTATTATTTTTATAAGCCACTCGTTGTTATTTTACAGTGATTTGGAATACGAAATTATCGTCATTGATGATGCGAGCCCAGATGGAACCCTTAAAGTCGCCCAAAGTCTACAGAAGATTTATGGCGACGATCGTATCATCCTGAAGCCCCGTAAAGCTAAGTTAGGACTTGGAACTGCGTATATCCATGGTCTTAAATACACTCGGGGTGAATTCGTTGTGATTATGGACGCCGATCTTTCGCATCATCCAAAATTCATTCCTAGTTTTGTAGCGAAGCAGAAGGAGGGTAATTTCGATGTCGTCTCCGGAACACGGTTCGTTTATTTGTACGAGAATGTCGACTAGTTATGTCCGCTGGAGGAAATCCTTAACGGTTATCGAATTTCAAAAGGCTTCGAACAGCGAACAGTTTAATTGTTTACGTTTTGAGTTCTTTAATAATATTTTTTTACAAATGACAGCTAATTACTTCTTTAATTCATTAACTATCTAATATTCGTTTGGGGGGTCCCGCGCGCGGTAATTTTCTAGCACGAAACTTAAGTATAGCCCGGGAAGATCCTGCAAAAGTTACTCGCAAGTCATTTCTACATTAATAGTCGTGCTGCGGTAGCAACTAAAATGCAAATATCAAAGTAGTATAAGTGCTAGGTGCAAGGTCATGCAAAAAAGGGGTTTTACTGAAATATTTCTTATCAATAACGCTAAAGATCTCAAAACATGATATATGAAATGTAGACATTTTACAGTTTCTGCTGGTGAAACAGAATGGGTTATTGTCAAAACTCGCAAACATTCAGTCCCGCGTGTACAAAAAACCATATCTGTTTCTGTTTGTGCCCGTTCTCAGGTATGCGTTAGGCGGCGGAGTACACGGATGGGATTTCAAACGTAAACTTATCTCCCGTGGAGCTAATTTTCTCACACAATTTCTGCTCCGTCCGGGTGCGTCCGATCTGACTGGCTCGTTTCGGCTCTATCGGTGCAATGTTCTCCGAAAATTAGTTGAGTCATGTGTATCCAAAGGTTATGTTTTTCAGATGGAAATGATTGTTCGCGCCAGACAGTACAACTATTCGATCGGCGAGGTTAGTACGATTGCCTTTTCGATACTCGTATACGACGATTTTTTACTTTTTAAATCTACTTTGATCTATCTGGTAACAGGTGCTTCGATGGTCTGAAATTAAATAAATACTTATTCTGGACATTGTTCTAGGTGGGGATCTCGTTCGTGGACCGGTTCTATGGTGAAAGCAAAATGGGAGGCAATGAGATAGTCAGTTACATCCAGGGCTTATTGTATCTCTTTGCTACGACGTAGAAAAACCTCAGGTCTCGCGCAAAAATTCATTTCAATTTCATACATCCAGAGAAAGCGCGCTTTTTTATACTATTCGTACATCTGTGAATCGCATCATGATTTAAATATATGTATTCCATTTTTATCCGAACCTGTCATCTTGTTTCGCCAATAGAAACTCTAATGCCCACATTTTATTGATGCAGCTTTGAGATCTTTAGTATTATTGGTAAGACATATTTTAGTCAAATCTCTTTTTCGCATGACCTTGCTAAAAACGTTACCGCAACTGATCACAGTATTTTAGAAAGATATGTGTCATGGCTTTGATTGATTTACTTCTATAAGAACCTAGTCATACATATAAAGTCCATGTGTGTAGATAGAGTCCAGCGGAAGATGTATATACCTATGTATATGGTACATACATACAGCAAATCCTATTGAGGCATCAATTGTTTCTTACTGCTAAAAAATTAAAGTGTATTAACCGGCTTAGGGAAGTGAAGACGAGTTGATGCATGGAGACACAACGTAAAGGTTTCAAAAATGGTGAAAGGAGAGACCTAAAACATTGCTTTGTATTGACGGTAATATTATAACGATTTACAGCCCGAACTTCGTGTTACGAGGGATAGTGGTGGGCTACACTGGCACCACTTACATAACTATACATCAAAACGCTGCTAAACTTTGATAAATACATTACTCTTAAAAAAAATAAATCTCCCGAAAGATTCTAGGTGTAGTTGATTGCATGATCAGAATCTAGATAACTTAAAGGTGCACGATATTCTGCAAATCATATACTTCCCCTAGCGAAATACTAAGAACGCAAAACACCAACATTTTCTTTCGATTATTCATACATTGCGGGTTTCGTGATTAGGGCAATTAATCACGTGTACGCAATAGTGCATTTTGATTTATTTCCTTATTACTTATTTGCTTAGCAAAATAGATATTTGCCTTTATCTCCTCCTCACCACTTTTGTCATTATTTCTTCGCAAGGTAACGCTCATCCTCTATCGTCGTTTACGTTTTTTTCATAAATCGGGACACAGCATTTGATCGAATCGACGGTCTTCGATAGATACGGCAAAATTTTTTTATCCACAGTATTTTATCTCAGTCAACTTTATTCTCCCAGACGTTAACTCAACTCTACTTATGTCCCAGCCCAAGCCTTTCAATAAAGTTAAACGTATATTTATAATTAAAACATCCTAGTATAATGGCAATAACAAGAATGCGTTACGAAAAAATGAAATTCATTACAACAGTAACAATTAGTAGTCGTGTTAGTACTCAGAAATTGTTAATCTACTGTGGGTACGTGTGATACATGCTTCGAACGATCATCACCACTGTCATCCTTCCTAATATTAATTATTCTGTAGAGCCCCTTCAACGCGACCTTTTCGCATTTAGAGCTTCCTTATTCGGACTGGGTTTTTCGTTTTTTGTGCGGATCACCCTTACCCGGTACACGCTCGGCTTGGAAAGAGCTTCGCCCAAATTTGTGTATTCCTGTATTTAACCTAGAGACTTTCTGCTCTTGTTGGATCATTACCAGAAGGAATTGACATGATTTCGATTAACGAACTGAGATCGACAACTTTTCTTCTAATTATTGATAATAGAAACCTGCAAATTAACAGAAGCTAATATACTGAAGTCATAATGTGGTCTTCCAAGTCGCACAGGTCTTGCGATCGGGGTAATTTACGACATTTCGACCGACAAGGTGACCATTGTCAGTATATCGGAATTACCTCGTCATGAACAATAAGTGCTGATTGACTCAGTGTTTCCCTAAAGGGACCAAACAGTAGAGTTTTATTAAATATGGCAAAATTAGAAATTATTTCATTACGATTATTGCTAATATAAACCTTGATAAATCCATCGGACTAATTGCACTTTCCATTCTGCACACGTACGTATCCATAGATAACGGACGCTTTTAAGACGACCTCTACGTTTTTTTCAATATTCTCTCTAAACATCAACAAAACTCTGTAATCCCGTAGCTATTCACAAGTGATCACGGTCAACCTTCGAAAGTTTCCTCAACACAGCTTTAAACATGCACATGCTTTTCTATGATTGCTATGTTGTTTGCGTTATGACTCTTCGATTATTACATTTTCATAAGTATTCACTAGTGAAGAACGGAGGGAGCATTAAATGACAATTCAGAACGCCCGCCGAGCGCGCGAACTGACTCCCTGGCTCGTCGATTCGTTCCTCTAAGTCATTGAAAAATTGAAATCATAGAATCGGTCACATTTATCATATTGTTGATATAATTTTAACATGCTACGTTTACTAATATATGATTTTCATAGTCGTTCTCGTAATATTATAATTAAAAGTAATCATCATAGGCAATTGCTAGTACCACTTTCTCTCTCTCTCTCTCTCTCTCTCTATATATATATATATATATATATATATATGTATATATATATATATATATATGAATTTTCGTCTTTACCCACACTTCAGTTTCACAGATATACACCTTTCAAATACAATAACACAACTTTAGTCTCTTGAGAGGGCCCTTTCTCTTCATCGTATTCAATTTTTGAGATATTTTCTATATTCTAAAGACATATATATAAATGACGGTCGGTTAATACAAGGGTTAACAACAGTAACAACGACGACCTCGACCGTCGATTTTTTTATTTCTTACCTAACAAAAAACCGTTAACCACTACTAACTATTAAGAAATCTAGTAATTTGTCAGCTTCTTCCAATAGATTTAATTGCTGAAATCAGTTGATGTTTTTTTTGGTAAAAACAACAATTACAAAACTTTTGGTGTGGTCTGTTTGGTTTCGTTCACATCATTATCTTGACAAATTTTACTTGTCAAGTTAAAATCAAAACGGTTGATTAGCATATTACTACACACAGGTATTTGAAGCGAGTCGTAGTCAGCTCGGCTTTTAGCCATATATAATTTTGTTTCCTCACTTTACTACAACTGTCGACGAATTGGGGCCTTGCTAACGAATAAAAACCTCGACGGCGTTGTAGAGCTTCGCTTTTCCTTTCGGGGCTCCCACGAATTGCATTCAAATCCATGGAAAAAAGGGGAGAGCGAGAAAAGCAGTTAGAAGCACTCAATTATTTTTCTTTCTATCCAAAACACCCAAGCTTGCATACGTATAATCTTCCAAAGTCCACAACTGTGGGTGGACTCTTTAAGAAAATGACCGCCCATTCTACGATGCCCGTGCTTAGAGCTTGTGAGTTCCTACTTTTCCCCTTGTGAAATGAACGGGAACCCGACTTTCCTGCCTTGGCGCCAACGTTGTTCGTGCACTTGGCTGTTTCCTGTCTGTGGTCCGTTTTGCCTCTTCTGTGTGTCGGCGTAATTGCATCGCTATCATCGTAATGGCTTATCCAATTGCCTTAGGTGATTGTAGACCTGTCCTGTACCGCACTGAGAGCCTGGTACGGGGCCATGTGTGCGACACGGGTTCGCAACTTCAAAGCGTACGTATGCTGTCCATTCAGCGACTAATCATTAACCGATACGACGGCCAAATACACTGTACTTACCCTGTAATATTGCGATACGCAAAAAAGTGTCTAGTACAAAAATTATGCATGTGCAAAGTTACTTGAAAAGACTTTATAACGACCTGCTATATATAACTTGCTAAATTTTGCTTGTCAGATTTTTTAGCAGATATTAAAGGGAATTTGAAGAAAACTGGCACTTTTAAGAAACCTTCCTAATAGTGTTTGTCGTATTTCGACACCATCGGATAGTTATTTGTACATAAATAATTTTTCGTTATATTTTTAAGTAATACTTCTCAAAAAGGTAGTTTCAGAAATCCATGAGGTAGTTGTATGGTATAGTCGGAAAAGTACTCACCATCAATTTATAAATTCTAATCTTTAGACGGGTACATCTTTTCATATATTAAGAATACGATGCAGATGTTAGGCGTCACGTGAATTGAATACGCCCCAAAACCTAAGCCAAAAAACACAAAAGCGATTAAATAAGAACTTGTTCATTTATCGTTAATTAGCTTATTTTATTAAACGTGTTAAAGGTAAATAAATTACCCATGTTTAGATAAATCACTCATAAATATATGCGCATCTATAAACAATTCTTCTACTTTTTAGGCACATTGCATGGTAAATAATCTTAAAAAGTTAAAAAGTCTCTCTTAAAATTGGATCAATAGACTAAACCTTTGTAGAAGCCTTTAATCCCTTCAGCGCGCTGGGTTCTTCGGACCACTTCTAAAAAGCCAGAATATTGCACATGCTGGTCCTGCAAGCGAGCACGAATCAACTGTTGAGGATAGGTGACTGCGGCGGCGATAAGCTTTGATATGGCGGCAAAAATCAGGTACTCCTTGGTCGTCAGACGATGTCGATTGACCTGTTTTGAGGAAGGACAACTCTGTGTAGGGAAGTGCCGCACAAGCAGAGAATTTCAACGGGTTCAAATTCGAGTTGATGAGACAGTGAGCAGTTTATTGACGCTGTTTTTATTATTTTTCAGACAGTCATAATCGGTCATATCTAAAAAATTTCTAGAATTATATGAGACCTTCAACTTTTTGTCCACTGTGTTAAAGCATCGCAAAGATGTTTGTGTAGAAGAGTGTACTTTGTGGAAATCCATAACTTAGTCCAGTTTCAAATAAAACAAAAACAATCGTTTCGTGTTCGTGTTTCAACACATATGCAGGATGATTTTTCACATCCAGGACGACGTACATGCAAGCTGTACTCGGCCTTCAGTTCCTCGTAGACCATAAATTGAATCGATCCATGCGCTACGTTAAAGACACCAGGTAGTAAACCTGAAAAAAAAGAGCGCTCCATTACTCAAAGCACGATCTTCGATAATTAATTAGAAATTTTACTACTAAATTTTTTAGCAGATATCAAAAGCACAAAAAAGTTATTTGAAAGCAGTATTTTCGGGGGGTGTGTCTCACGAGCATTTACAATAATGCACACTTGTAGTTCAACAATAAGCAAATAATTCGCGACGAACGACTGTAGGTAATTACGGTAAAATACTTCAGAGGTGTCTAATCAGTACTAGATTTCAATAACAAAGACTAAGCTTAAGTTTGAAGGGATATTCTTGCAATGGATACGTTTTCATTGTTCCTTGTCTAGCTTTTAATAACTAATTACAGTGTTCTGTATTTGGTCGAACCTATAGTGAACGGGCAGAATTATTACTGTTACATATGTACCCAGTATAAGCAGTTCTGTCTACACATCGCTCAACCTCTACAGTCAATGTAGAATAGATCAGTGTTGCTTCATCAGCCAACAGAGATATAAGAAAAAATAACGTAATTTTTGTATTGCTTACTTTGATTCAATAATACAGCAGGTCGAGGAGCCAAGAAATCAACCGACCGCTTAACATTTCCAGTGTATTTGTCGAATTACCTTGAGGCGACACAAAAGACTATGCGCCTTAACATGAGTTGCAGGTGCGATGTTCCGTGAAATCGTTAGGTGGCCGTTGTGTGCTAAAAGGGAACTGAACCCGAACGAGATGCTCACCAATAATATAACTAGACGCAATTACATTACAAAAACGAGGATAAATCCAGTGGTAGGTATTACAAGCGTCGAGCATTTTTCAACGACAGAACAAATCTAGCTCTGCATTATAATTGTTCGTCATACTAATTAGGACATACGCACCAGATTTCAGAGTTTACCGAATTTGCGGATATGTGCTGGCCAGCCTACTGATTCTCTACAGCCGGTAAGAATAGCTCAGCTCGTCAACGACCATCCTAGCCTTCAGGGAAAAATACCTACCGCGGGAACAAACATGTGTACCTCCCCTGAGATGAACTGTTAGCAATGAAGACACTTACTAAACTGCCCATGTGACAAATCTGATGATTATCAACTTCGATAACACAGCAGTCTTCGAACCGAAGTCTTGTGAGGCCTTTCACGCAGTTGCGGGAATTGTACTAAAGTTACGCTATATTAATGAAAAATATTTTTAAGTTGCATCACAATAAGTACATTTATTCTGTGTAACATACACTAAATTATTGACAAGACAGTGACTTAGTCGCACGCATAAACTATATAATTTATGAAAGATCATAGGTTTCACGACTAGGCTTTTTCATATATACCTCGAGGATGCTCAAATATCCGTGTAATATAAATATCGATGCATGCGTTAAATTCTACAATTAACTCACCCTTATATAGACTGCTGAAGCCCTCATACTTGACAACCTTTTGAAAAGCATCCACCATGCCGCTGTATCTCTTGGTCGCCGGCACATTCATGTAATGGTCAGAATACTGAAGACATAACCGCGTCTTCACCATCGACAGTGGATTGGTGATTACCTAAGACGAATTTCAAACAGGTTATCATTATAAATTTCCCATGACCCCCTATTTATGCAAACCTATCATATATATGTACATACTTTTTTAAATGTTTTCTGCGAATATAGTATTATTGTTATTACGTTGCAGTTAATGGGAATGTAAATCAGCACTATAAATACTGGGGATAAAGGAGAGCATAAACATTTATCAAGTATTTAACAGCAGGTCTGAAAAGAGGACAGAAAGTAATACGAGAAGTTAAATCAGATTTCCTTAAGATCATAAATATGAGTGAGTATGTATATATATATATATATATATATATATATATATATATATATATATATATATATGTATATACCTACTTACTTGTTTTTTGTTAATTTTTTTCTTTTTAACTTTACTTCTTTGGATGTTATCTGCAGTTTTCTTTACAGAGTCAACGTTTTGTGTGGCTCACAAAATTTTAGTTGCTCTAAAATGAATATAACGGACGACTACAATTTGTCACATTTATTTAACAGGTGAGAAAGTTACGGAAACATCTCACGATCTATGTGAGGCTTATGACAAGGATTCTACAGCTGAGAGTATTATTAAGACGTGGCGTGAACCAAAGATGGTATTGGCAAAAGTATTCCAAGGGAAATTGGGCTAAGCCAGTTTTGAACGAGGATAATTGTTATATAAGTCGACGTCTTTTCGATTTCAAAAATGCGGTTTTTTGCCGTCCCACATAGCCATCTCTAGAGTCCGAAGTGAGGACAAAACTCGGCTATCTCTTTTTTGAAATGATTATAATAGGTCAACGAAAATAGTTTTAATCAGTATACAGCGCTTAGCCATCAGCAAACAAACAATATAAAAGACGCACGTACATTAAAAATGCCTGATATGAGATCACGGCCAAAGTTGATTTTTCCATGCTGGCCATATCTAATATTGCTTCAAGGCATTAAGGGACGTATGGCCATTTATGGCCATGCAGTTTATCTAATACTGTGATTTGCCTTTCTTATGCTATACTGCGGTCTGATCGTTGCTGTGTACTAAGTTTGCTGTGGACTAGTAATATCTCTCATGCTACTGTTGGCTTATGACAGGTGATTTCCCATATACCAACTACTATAAATTCTCTTAACCACACTGAAACCTCCAACTCGCTGGCAATACCAATTAACACGGCTGAACGGCCTGACATACTTTGCCGGTTAGGTCCAAGGCTGGTTTTTGAAACTGGCATGGAAACATGCATGGAAACGTGCAGGCATACATATTCTGCATGTGACTAAAACCTGTCAACACCAATATCTTTGCTGAGGGCTGATTGCCCGATGCTGGGCAGGGAAGCTACTTGGTACACTGGCCTAGTCTAACGCGTGATCGAGCTGTGTATCTAATAGGTTCTATCAATCATGTTGAGCTATCATGTTGAACTTCATTTTCTAACTTACTTGTGTTATGCAACCTGCCTCTGCTGCGGCCAGCATGTGCCTTGCAGGACCGAGATGTTCGACATCTTTTTGCGTGCCACTCGGGTGATTCCGCTCTGCTCTGCGTTGAGAGTTGAGCATATAGTTTTTGATCGAATGGTAGAAGAGGAAGTAGAGGCCCCAGGAGGTTCCATTTCCGATGCAGTTGGAGAACACTCCACGGTACAGACCCTTCACGCCCTCCTCACGAACGATCTTCGTTAACGCATTGCGAATACCCAGATATTGGGGCCGAGTTTTGAGCTGACCGTCGTTCACTGTACAATCAAATCGCAATCATAGAGATAAACATATGAAGAGAAAAGACACATCGCACCAGTGCAATTATAACAATAATCATAATAATGATAATAATAACTGGTAGCAACAACCGTAATTGATTATAATAATAGGATCAATATTCGTTTGCAATTTATTCATCCTGACGAAATATGTTTTGTTATGTTGCCAAAACTAATATTGGGTCGTTGAAAGGTAGTGACCGTTTTTCTAGCTTAGTGGCGCTAAGGTCACATACCTGTTGGGTCAGCGTTGGTCTCATTTGAAAGCTGAGATTTGGCAGTAAATATGCTAACTCTTAAAATGCCCATACAACATCTTGAAATTTAGTAAAATACACTATCTTTCCAAATTATTATGATTAAGACACAAGCTCACGAAAATGTGCGTTACTCATGGTCAAAATTCGTTATCGGGTGAAACGGCCCAAAGACGGTTCTGTTGCTTTCGTCCGGGAAATTTCGATATGAAAAGAGCTCCTTGTCGACCAGTTACGAAAAAAGATAATTAAATTGTTGCAAAGTTGAATAAAAGCGATATATGAGCGATCATAATATCACCAAGGAACTAACCATTTGAAAAAGCTGGCAACAAAAAACTTCGATGTTTGGGCGCCATACGAATTGACGTAAACGAAATGACTTCGGACGTATTTCCATCTGCGAAACTCTACAGAAATTCGACTACAAAAAATCGAGCAGTCTCTAAAACAACTTATTCTAGGTGATGAAAAATGGACTGCATGCGACAGTCGTGTGCAAATAAAAATAAAATTAAAAAAGTGTACTCCATAACGTTTGGCCAGGCTGACGTCAAGAATGGCGTTTATTAAATATATATAATCCGGATTTTGCATCATTAGGCTATCATCTCTTTTGGTCTCTACGGAACATCTTCGGTAGCTAGCTCAGTGGAAGAATGCAAAAATCACTTGTCACAATTTTTCCTTCAAAATGTTACCGAAGTTCTACAGTGATAGTATTTTGTAGTGCTACCAGAAAAATTGCAACAAGTCATTGCTGGAAATGGCGTATATTGGGCTTAGTAATCATGTTTTTTAGTAAAAAGAGTGCTTTTGGTTTTAAGGCGGTCAATATTTTTTTTGGTAGACCGGATATTATAGTGATTACGATTACTGTATATATAAATTAATAGTAATAAATAGATAAAATTTAGTAGCAAGCTGAAGTACAATACTGTGTTTCGGATAATGGCTAGGTAACATGAACCTGTCTACCCAGAACTTTGACACCAAAACCCTAGTACCGGTAGTACATAGGCGTATTATTTGAACATACTCGGTAATGTTTCCGTCTTTCCAAAACATATTATTTTGCACAAAACAGTGTCTCTTTTCAGAACTATTATTTAATGAACTTATCTGACTTCCTGTACCACAAACTAAATGAGATGCCCCTTATAATCCAAATGTGGGTGTTGTTTCTTAAACCACATGACTATATGGGTTTAGGTGAATTATAATAAATTATTTTTCTTATACCATAGTATACATAAAAGGTGCTTATTTTGTGTCATTGAGTTTAGTGCGATCTGCCACGTGTCAGGGCAAGCAAAAAGGTATTCGACCAACCTTAAATACTGCCCGTGTGGTTTCAGCGACCAATATTGTTGCCCCAATGGGCCAAATACATGTTGAAAGGATCATAGTGCCAGCTATGAAGGTAAACGATTTCGCTATCCATTAGAATGTTATTATGAAAGAATTAATTTGTATATATAATCCTGTTTAGAACGGACATGTGGTAGGCAATAGTCCTTTTTACTATCGCGTTAGACAAAAAGAATACTATTAAAAGATTAATGTAAATTAAAATTACCTATTTGTGGGCCCTTGATCCCATAGAATCAAAACTGCAAAACAAAGTGGATGGAATTTCATGTCATGTTACTAATACATGCCAACAGTAAAGCCGGGGGGGGGGGGGGGTATTCGATGACACTGTTTCGATTACTCCAACTAACGATGATAATAATATTTAAACTGATTTTTATAGATTCATACAGAAAAAGCATACTCAAATGGCTTGTCATTTTGAAAACAAATATTCCTCAGTATAGCTTTGTCATCCAATTGGGTTACATAGTAAGCAAAATGGTAACGTCCATTTGCAGAAGAGGATCAGTGACTGATACCCAAAAACTTCATGATCTCATGACCCAGTGCATTGTTTGGCTCATCAAAAAAAAACTAGGATATAATACCACCCATATGCGGCGTTTACTTTTACCTACGATTCGCTAAAAACAAACTGATGAGTTGGGTTCGGATTTCTCCGCCTTCTGGTATTGTACAGATAGTCAGCTCTAATTAACAATAGGATTTTATACATTTTCTTTCAGACACTGCGTTCTAAATTGAGTGTAATACTGTAGAGATAATGAGTGTGTACGTACAAAAAAAAAGACATGTTTATCTTGTCGCCGTCAGCCGCCTGCCGCTGTGCCAATTTGTAACGTGATTCGTTCTTAGTCCTAATATTCTTTCTGCACCGGCCACAACTAGCTCGCTCAACACGCGGTTCGACGGAAATGAATAGTCTAATGAAGTCCAGGCTTTCGTATACACTACGCACGGAAAAAGCTCGAAGTGCTGATGTCATTCTACTACTAGCAATAATTAGTAGTAATTAATAGTAACTGCAATACACTAGATGTGCCGAGTTTGTCTTGATAGTTGTCTGTAACGTTATCAACAATCTTCGTCGTAAAGTGACATCGAAATTGAGACACTATTCTTATAACAAAGGTTTGAAGGAAGCTGAGTAAGATTCCGGTCATATTTCCTTAATATTATGGTTATTGTTTCTGTTTTATAGAGATATAAGGAAAGAGCATACGACATTCGTGGTCTTAAATGTTTACACAATCTACTTTCACAGAAATATAGGCAGTTAGAGGCTTTGCGGCTCAGTAAAATACGTTAGCAGGTAGTTGGTAAGAATTTTCAAGCAGAATCAAAAAAATACATCTAACGATTTTCTTCTTAACAGACTCTATATGGAGACGTGAAGACCTTATGTGCTCAACGCCGATTTAATTCAAACTGAACTATCTTCATCTTGGTGACCCAAAGCAGTCCACTCCTGTGTCGTGGAGATTTCCCTTTTATCAACGCTAGGAAAGTGCAGGAAATCTAACTTTAGGTTATATCGATCTTAATAACACATTATCAAACAGCTGCTAGTCTGACCTACAACCACTAAATAACTATGATTTTCCACAATCGCCCTTAAAGAAGTGTTTCATATTATTGAGATGCTCCTGATTACGAGTTCCAATCGACTTGAAAATTCACTTAAGAACCTGAATTTGTTGCATCAGCAATAAATACTAAAGTTAAGAGTCTGCCAGTATCCCGGTGTGTACCTACTTTATGACGAAATCAGTAAAACTGTTGCATCTAGAAAGTACTCAACAAATAGTTTTAAAAGTATGCCTTTAAACCTCTAGGTCTCAATACATTAATTAACTAGATCTAAAACCAGTTGAAATACAGATATGTCGAACTGTTACATTAACGTCACCATTCAACAGGATTGTACCTGTTGAGCAGGCAAAACGGCCAGTCAATGGCCCCAACAACATGGCCGTTAACACCTGCGATGTTGTTATAACTGTCATCGTCTGTCAACTGAAAGTGCTCTTTTACTGTTACAGCAGGAGTAATACACATTGAAATTATGTGGACTCGTTGGAACGGTCCGGTTGCTTTTTACCGATTGCGATATCGCTCGTACGAGTGAGGGAAAATTGTTTCTGGTCGCCAGCTCCAAACGGCCTAAGAAATATTCATTTCCATCTTTTATCCTTTTGAATACGATCCATTACAATTTCCTATCCGCTTTCAGCTCACTCAGACTGGATGATCTCTAACAACATGAACACTATCAACCAAACCTTTTATACGACAGGACTTGCATTAGCAATAACAGCAACCGAACGACCTGCGAATGATCTGGGTTAGAATGGGATACGCACAAATCAAACGCCATTAACTAAATGAGGGCAGAGTCAAGTCTGTGGCTCCAAAAACAGGCAAAATGCTGAAAGTATGAACAAAAATGAAATGGTAATGAAGATAAGAAAAGTGAAAGCTTCCACAAATCTTTGCGTTTAATACTTACAAGTGGATCGTAAGGTCTTTGGCTATTTTACTTATATGAATAAATCTTCATCACCACTTATTCATTACGGATCCCTCCCACTAAAGGGTTCTAATTGAACCGTTTCTCGCTGGAATTGTTTGGAATTAAAATAATGTGGTGATTAGATATCATGGTAAATATTTTCTAACTTTGAAATTCGAATTAACGATGGCCGCATGTTCATGGTTACCCTAATCTTAAAGAGATGTGTGTTACCCATCTAGGCCATTCCGCGGCCGTCAGAATTTAACACGACAATGAAGTCTAACATGATGAAAAGCAGGTACTAGTATAACGCGAATATGGACATTTTACGGCGTACGATTTGTTCTATGAATAGATGAAGGGTACAATATAAAAGTTCCCAGGTAATATTATGGAGTTTTAACAAAGTAGAAAAACAAACACATTTATGGTAGAAAGACGAATTTTTCGCTCAAGAGTATTTGCTGAGATCGACCCCTGGTATGCATATCCTTAAAACTCTGTCTGCGTGTTCGGGCGATTCCGGATGGGTTTCGTTATAAATCCGCATTAGAGTAATCTCTTACGACAAAATTTCCGATGAACGATAAAAATAAGCGATAAAAGACAGCTACTCGATAACGCCGATGTTTGTATTATAGTAAGTTCCTTATATCTATCGGTTGACCGTAAAAAATATCTTTCGAGCATACGCGGTCGATGCGCAGGGATCGTTTGTTTGATCTTATTTCTACAGCTGTCAGGATTTCGCCAATATTATGGACAACAAATTCTTTTACTAATTTTGACTTTTAATGTATCACAACGCCTACCAGTTGAATAGGCTGATTTATAGGTGGATTGTTGCGCATATTTTGTTAGGTAATCTTGTCAATCGACTGCGCTAAAGGCACTGTTTTACGCTTTTAATAATAATAATAATACCCTCATAATTTATAATGGTCCCCGTGACTCCTTTCAATGATTCGCTTTATCGACTTTAACGCATTTCGCTGGACTAAGGAGGTGTAGCGACTAGAAGAGGGTTTCTGCACGAACAGCATATGTGCATAGGTTTTTGTATTTCGTGGAATAAGTTAGATGGAACAGCTTGAAAGGCGAATCCCTCAACTGAAAAAAACTCCAGGTAGGAATTGTTGCAAGCAATATTTGCCTGTTGCGACTTCCAGTTTTTATCAACAGCTTTTTCCACATAAAAAGTTCTCTTGATAAAACATCAGTTTCCGTTGGAAGCGGTTCGCATAAAAAGTCCATTGCAGCGTGTCGATCCATGACGATTTCTGCATGATCACTGCGATGCAAGAATGTTTCAGTTAAGTTACTCTGATCTACCTTGTTTAGTAGCTTTTCGTATTAATCAACACCGTTAGAAAATACAGAAATGGTAGAGAGTTTAGAGCTTAAGAGCGTTAAAGAGCTCTCTTTTGGTGCTTGTAGTTAACACAAGCCTACCAATTGAAGTCAAGGAATATAACAGGAATAATTTTTAGGCGTGGTAACAACGCTGCGTGTAATGTTTCTAATTTTCTTCTATTATTAGTCCCCACGTACACTAACGACTTAATTCCTTTAATGGATACAAGCTTGCTGATACAACCACAGCGTATCTAATAAAAAGGGACCTAGAGCCGTAATGTTTTTGGCATAATCACCCCTTATTAAATGATACGTCTGATCATATTGTTTTTACTTGAGTACTGTCTCGTGTAATCCAGTCCTCCAGGCTAGATTAGTCACTAACCGTTTCCCCTTGCGCCCTTTCATGTCCCTCTCAAATGCCTTACTGCAATGTCTCCATTTTATAGACATGTTTTGACACCAATTCGTTTTGTACTCTTTGGCAACAAAGTGCCTGCGAATAGCTCCTATATGTTGGGCACATTTGGGTTACATTGCTTGGCAGGGCTTTTGCAAACAAGTGACGAATGCCTGTTGCTGGCTTGGGGACATCAGACTTGTCGAGGAACCGTTGTCCCAGAAAAGAAAGGACAGTACTTTTCAGCGAGGGAATCTACAATAGAGATCAAAATTTGCGACCAAAATATTTCGGTCTTTTCACATCTGGATCAATTAAACTATGTGATTAAAAAACTCGTCTTAAACATCGGTTATTCCTTGTTAGCATGACAATGCTAATCAAAAGGCAAACCAGTAATGGGTAAAAAACAACAGGGACACAGTCGCAAGTTAGGACGAAATCGGTAACGACTTTAATGGCTTGGGAACGTTGGCAGTACTGCTAAAGCTGTAACGTCATTTTAATCTATGACCCTTACTAGTGGAAGTTTAAACGAAAGGCAAATAACAAATACACACTTTATACAAGTAAGTATGTTGCCCATCTTGATATAAACAAAGCTCTACAGCAGTAGAAAGAAAAATACGTCTTTAGTACACACATAGTATATGACTAACATTTTCAACGGTATTGATCACTTACCCTCTTTTTTCCCAGTTTTCATAGTTCTATTGACAACTAAGACCAGCCAACAATAATTAACCATTTTGCGAAGACTAAGCAAGCGGTTTAGCGTACGTGACTTAGAAAATAAGCACAGGAAAAAGCAACCATCCATCCGGACAGGTGTCACAATAGAATCTGTATAACATAATTTATGCATGGTCTATTGCCGGCCCACCTCTTGCTTTTGCTTCGGCTGCCGTGCCTTACAGCAACGAAAATCGCATCCCACTCTCTAGACGCACTATTTGAACCTCCCTGTCACAGATACCAACGTACCATACAAGTAATGCCAAAATAACAGCTTCCTAAACAAACGTAGTGAATCAATCGATGCTGAGACGGATTGCCTGACGATAACATGACGGGAGTAAAACCCTGGCTGTGCCAAATACCTTTAACAGCGATTGTCGCTGTCGCGAAGAGCGACAGGCTGTACTGATTAAAATGAACTATTCGTATACGCGACATTGAGTTAGCTGGCAGTTTTGTTGTTGCTGTTGTCGATTTGAGGGACGCTCGCTGGAAATGCCAACAGTAATGCCTGTCGACGCGGGTCCGCACTGAACAAAAACAAACAAAATAAAGCTAGCGCCCTTTCGGGACTAAGAAAGCCAAGCAATTACTTTCCAGTATCTTTCAATTTGTTATTCTTGTTTTCTTAGGATTTCTGTTTCATATATTAGATTATCTTCTCGTTATGCACGCACGTACCTGCTAGGCGAATCCTGAGCAGATCGAGGGGATGAAGTATTAGGGTAGAGGTTACTCCTCCAGCGATTCCGGCGAGCATAGGTTCAAACTGTAGTTTCGGCAGGAACGTTTGCCAGAATCGAGTCCTCGGAACCATCGTTCCTGTCGCCGTTGCTGTCGACAGTGGTGAAGCTGTTGGTATCGCGGCGACTGCTGCTGCCGCTACTGCTGGTGATGTCTTCGGGCTGACGATTGAGCTGCTGCTATCATTGTGACCATGATGGCTACTCGAGTTGGTGCTACTGCCAATTAGATGAGGGCCAGTTGCATTTTTAGTCAAAGACGAAGACGTCGTTTTATTGATACCGCTACTACTGCTGCTGCTGCTGCTGCTACTGCTGTTTCTGGTAGTGGTTTTGCTACTTGACATCTCTAGCAACTGCTGTTGGTGTCGCTGTTGTTGTTGGTGCTGCTGCTGAGGTTGCTCGAACAACCCCATGGTGTCAGTATCGTGCCGTCTTTCTTCGTGGTATGATCTTTTCGCACACAGACTCTCACACACGCAACACACACACGCAGACAGACACAAAAAAATTGCCAGACAGACAGACTGAGGACACGAAGTTGGGCAAACAAGCAGCTGGGTACAGGGTGAACTGGATCTGCTCTAAAGGAACAAGCTACTGTCGAGAGGCACAACAGAAACAACTGTCGTTTACAGGTGATAGTAATCGTGATTAACAACCACAGTCGTAGTCGGCATCATAGAAAATATTCGCACAGAGTAAAATCGTTGAGCAGAATGGGCGATTCGCAAGTGAACGAAAGTACCGTTGTTCGCCCTTAAATACACGCACTTGCTCGAAACTCATGAACAATACACTCACATAACCTGAGATTAAACAAAAAATAACCGAGCTACACTGAGCTAATGCACAAAAAGAAACAAAAACAGAGACAGAGTACTGTTTATGTTATTAATTTGTTTGTTCTTGCGGGCGAAAACACTTGATCGAATATTATAAGCGTTGTCGAATAATACCGGTGGTCAAGCTAAGAACAACTGCAGCACAGCCTCACCGAAATTGTCCCGTGCCCACGATGCAAGGGACAGCATAAACACAACAGACACAAGGGTCGACTTGTTATTTTTGCTGATTATTATTATTATGTGACGGTTCGTGAACCATGGCCTCTGGTAATACCAATATTATGATGTTGCACTTTGATAGATAAATATATACATAGATCGATAAACAAAAGCAACAATCTCGTCGCTATGGCTTATTTCTCCTTTTTTCGTTTCGGTTTTTCGAGATGGTTTTTGCTGCGAAAAACACACGACCCGCGCTTTTTGTTTTCGACTCACTCTGGCGGTGGGGGCGAAAACGGGGTCGGTCGTTCGTACAGTGGCAGCCGTAGAAAAGGACATATGTAGGCCACGACACGCCGTCCTCGCTTTACTTCGTTCACTTTTTGTGTGTCTGTCGTCTTTTCTAGCGGTAGTAGGCTCCTCCGGACTTCTCAAACGAAGAAGTCAGAGGTATGGCGATGACCGCTCGTCGCGACGCAAGCGGCGCTCGAAATGGCGGCGCCGATGCAAATTCTTTTGTGACTGCTGTAGTTGTCGTGGATGTCGTCGCGCCGAGTTCGTCAACAGCCCGTTCATGGTCCTCTTGTTGCATTCGCCGCGATTGGGGGCGATTCACAAAGAGAAACCAGTATAGATTTTGATGATTGATTCGTTCGAGCAAAACTGGCTAGCAGCAAATTCGATGAGGTGTTGTGCGCCCGAGCCGGCTAACCAGGGGGTATGGCTGATTCAACTGCTGATAGAGAATGGCCAATGGCTTAGCGGTGGAACAGGAGCTCAGCGCGCGCGAACGGATGCACAATGATGCTATAATCGTTTTTCCATAGCCGATATCCGTATTTCATTCACCCCCGTGGTTGGAATCCGACAGGGGATATTGGCAGCAGAAATTCTGCTTCGCACAAACAACGCCCCCACAATCGAAGTTGTACAAACAACAGCAAAACCGCGAATATAACAATGAGTCTCTGACACTGGCAAGCGCCATCTTCGATTCGACAGACCTCGCTCCTCGTCGCTCACCATAGAACGCTAGCTGCGACGGTGGCAGTGATAGAAGCTTGAAGTACAAATAATGCGGTCGAATCGTACATGAGCGCGCGGGACTACAATAGATAGTGCTTGCCGTATGTCCTTGCATTAAAAATTGAAATAAAAAGAGCTCAACAGAGGGCGTTCAGAGTCAACGTGTATACATGATTAAATTAAGCAAAGATCATAATAACAAAAATGTCGAAAGCAAGAGTCGAAGCTTATGAGCGTATGAATTTTGTGTCATGAATTGTCCAGTATATATCGAAAAATTATGTGTGTGTAAATTGTTTATAAATTTTCATTCAATACTAATGCTTTGCCATGTACTTGGCTATCATGTATATCATACATCTACAAAGAGTAGTTACATTTATGTATTATCCTGCAGCCCCTCGGAGGGCACTGACAGCCAATGATCTTTCCTGCATAACAAACGTATTTCAAAAGAATTTACCATTGCTTAAATAATTTATCACACATTTATTTTCATATGTAAAAAAAGCTTTTAAACCTTAGGGCCGCCTAAAGCGGTCTGTTCTGCTTACAACTTATTATTAACTTAAATTGCTTACAGCACACATCTGTGTTGCGTTAAAAATGTAGGTTTTGCTCTGGATATCCGCAAATTTCTGGTCATAGACAGCGATAACGTGGTTTAACTGTAGGTCAGAGTAACCACCATGAACGTGGCTAAATATCTCATCTACGACTTAGGTCATCGCTCACGTGCCCGAATCATTTAAAACTGCCGCCTAACAAAGACCGATCCGAGTGAGAAAGCTGGTGATCGGATTTAAGTGATATCGTTACCAGTGAACGCTATTAACATCGTTAATCTGGAGGCTGTTCCAATTCTACTGTTCTGTACACGGAAAGTGTTAAAGCCTCGAGCAATACCATTTGCAACAGACTAATCGACAATTTTTATCCTCTCTCACTTTTGAAAGGTCTTACAATAGCTGAACGTCATGGCTTTGAATAGAGGAAATCGCTAATTAACTTTAAATAAATGGCCAGATCCTATTGCGCTGCCGTTCACGCTGAGACTTATGAACATTTGTTTGTTTGTTTGTTTGTTTGTTCGCGTCGAAAAACGAACAAAAAAAAAAGCAGTTTTAATTGTATAATAGAGTTTTCAATTCTCTATTAGGTTTCTGTAGATAGATCAGCAATGGTAGGTACGCGAGGAAGCGGTCCAATTCGTATGAGAAGAAGACATCTGCAAATAGAATTCCTACATATTCTAATTATAATATGTATTAATTATTCTGTAAATTCTTGTCCATTACTCCTTTTTGCTGGAGTTTATGTAATAAGATTTGCAACCAACTCTATTAAGGCGAATGGACAACTTATTGCTGCACCAAAGTGCCTGTTTCATAGGCTATCTTTCAGTTAGCTTTGTGTACATTTTCTTAAAAATATTTTATACAAAGGTTACTTTAGCGACAGCCGTGGGGTTTCGATGGTCCATTTTGTGAAAATCTAAATCGAAAAGATAGCAGGAGGTTCATTTCCTTTGGCTTGTTCGCGATTGCGCATTGTTAGCTGAATATCATTTACTTGGTACTTTAATTGCTATAAAGGATATGCATCCTTGTTCATTTTATCGCTGCGTACTGATTCGGGGCGGACTTTGTACGTTCGAAGAGTCTTAATTAATGTCTGCCCGGTAAGCAACTAGAAGGCCCAGTGGAAATTAATGATAGATAGCGCCAGAGCACATAGACCGCTTTTAATAATTGGTCTATTCACGAGGACTTCTTATAAATTATAAATTATCTAAAAAAATGTGTATGAATTATTATTTAAGATAAAAAAAAAGTATCTCTAAACATTCGTATTTTTATATATGGCTTAGGTAAGAAGATTTGCCAGGAGCTCGCAGAATAATGGTTTTAGCAATACTTGTCTTTTGTCGTCAGTTCCAGCTACAGCCCACGCATGGTGGTTATGATGGCTGTGTAAAAAGCTTTAGCGACATCTTTAAGTCCTATGAAATTCGGTAGATCAGACTTACGAAATGCAAAATATCGATCTCGTAGCACATGTGAAAGCTTGCAAAGATTCCCCTCACAGATTGCACTGGGTTTCGTCACCATCTATGGAAGAAGCCTCGTAAGATCCGCTATATTTTATAGAAGCGCAGTACTTTTAGTTTTACTTCTCTACTGTAGATTTATATTTAATTTAACTAGTATTAGAGTGGCCAACGTCACTGAGTTAAATTGTTCGTATTTGTTGTGCTGAGGGATTTTTCTAACAAAAGGGTTGAGTAATGCTTTCAGACGATCCAGTCTATTGAAAAAAGTCACCTGGATACCCTTTACTGGAAGTCGCTGGTTCAGGTTTGCCGAAAACCTTTTTACACGTAATATGTGTATCTATAAGGCAATATATGCCAACTCTACGAAGAATACATCTATCTCTTGTGGGCCGTATTTGGGGAAATGATCTTTTACTATAATTTTTGATGATATTGTGGCTAGGCTAAACGAAAGCGTAATATAAAAGCTGTTTTTGCTTAGTACATTTCAAGCCGCTACAACTTTCATTTGAAGTAGATATGCGTTAAGCTGTGATTCCAACAGCAATATATATATATATATATATATATATATATGTTTATAGATTTTCGTTATAGCGCATGTTTTGGATAATTTATGTCCTAAGATAGCTAAGCCTAGAATGTACTGATAAGTCGCTCTCATAGGTTTCAAAAGAATAATTAAAAGATACTACTCCGAAAAAAATGATGGCAAAGATAATTCGTCATGGAGAGTTCTGTTATTTCGAAGCTGTTTTCCCGTAAAGGTATTGATATCGAATTTCTAAAACATGAATTTTTGTCAATGGATTATCGTCTGCTCAACACATGATAAACGACTACTTATCTACTATTGTCTTTTTGATCCTGTTAACTAACTATAAGTGAATTTCGTTAGCATTTTGCGTGTGTTTGGTGTCGAAGTAATAGTTATAGCTTTATATAGATATAGATAGTCATCTGCGCAATGCTTCTAACAAAGTGCACTACATCCCAGCGTGAGTCAGTCTCGTTAAAACGGAATTCTGCAACCAAGGACCATATGTCCAGGGGGCCATGGAGAACGTTACCGCACTTGGCTACCGTTATTATAATATACGAACTGACTCAGAACTTGAACCGGCATTGAAGATGAACTTGTAAAATAAGGATATTGTAGCAAGTCGGAACTTATGTTATTTTTTAATAAACTTCAGTATACTGAACTTCAAAAACGACAATGGAATTTCTGCGAGGAAGCAGAAACTTTATAGATATCCAAAATAACTATGGGATGACATAATGTTCACCAAAATTAAATCGCACGATTTCGAGTTTTGATGAAAGTTTCGTTCTACAGTTGAAAAAGAAAACCCTTGACATTGCTAAATCCTATGCAAAATTAAATATTCTAGCTGCTTGACTTGCTTGCAATAAATTAGAAGTCCATCGCTTACAAGGGCATCTTTACCACTAATACAGGAAGCACCAGTGCTAGGCTCTATTGCAATAAGAAGAAAAGGTCCCGACAGAAATGAACAGCAAAAAAAGTAATTTATATATAGTGATCTATTCATAATCAGCACCTTCATCTAATCGACTGCTGTAGGTGTTTTGGATCCATAGTTGGGTTCATTTGCCCTGCTAGGGTCTTGCATAATAGGATTTGGGTGAAGTTTCGTTTTTAACCAGATGACCTCAAATGTAACAGATCTACTTTTTTTTTTAACGTTTCGAGTTTTAATGAGTCTCAGTTTCTATTTGTTTCAACCCAAAAATTCCGCCTTCAGGTTTCACTATCTATCTAGCATAGCCTAATTGGATAACGTAAATGAGAAATTAGATAAAAGTAGATCGAGTAAATGAGATGTAAGACGCGTCAGTCTACACCATTATTACAGTGGTTCTGCTGGACCAATACGAACTTAAAAAAACGAGGAAAATTTTCGGAATTTTCTCATGTAAACAGTACGCAATCTTCATATCGTCTTTGCGTATGACAAGGTGGGAGACTCTGATGCAGGCTCAAAAACGTACGAATGTCAGTAAAAGATACCGCCCTGTCGACGTGCTGCGAACCATATGCGCCACGATCTCAAACTGCTGGATTGAAAATCCATGCGTAATGAAGTTAATTTGGCCAGATTGACATAGTCAACAACAAATGCAATTCAATGAGCGTATCTTTTCGGTTATCTATTTAACGCAAAAACTACTATAATGTAAAATCTAACATATTATTGTGAGTTAGTGTAGGAGATACGTATCGCCATCTTTAACCGTTGTTTCATGTTAATATGCTGGTTGACATAGAGCTATGCTCGATGCCAGTACCAAGGTCAATTATCTAGAATTACGTCAACAAATTCAGAGCATTATCGGTGCTTCCTGAGGGCAATGCCTGCTCCTGTTTCGATTGGCGTGCGTATTCTCCTATAGGCCGTATGGTCAGTGAATGTTACTTATTCATATTCAGCTTTCTTATAACACTCGAGTACTACCGACGGAAGTATCTTCCGTCCATACTCAGTCTTCTTCTTGACTCCAAGCCTACAGTTGTCAGCTGTGGACGGCAGTAGCGTTATGGATAAGACTATAAATTAAAGAGGCGCGCGTTGGTCAGCAGCGTAACGACCAACGGAGAAAGACAGAAATATGGGCGGCTTGTGTACTGATGTCAGACAGTCTGTCCTCCAGTTCCGCGCGTAAACGAGAGTATTTTGCCGGGAATGACAGTGTACTCACACCTTCTTATGACAGACGCGCGGATACTCGCAAACACATACTTAATACGCCACCGACGGTGAGTTATCCATGATCCATAGAAGTGATTGGGAAAAACGATACGCGCACACAACGAACCAGCTAGGCGAATATAGCTACGATAC